TTCTCTTTTTTCTCTCTTCCATGTTTATTCTCTCTCTTTCTCCCTCTCTCATTCTCTTTTTTATATTTCTCTCTGTTATATTATAATATTTATATATACGAATATTTGTATCAACTACCATACTTTTATAAACCAAAGTGATATTTCTGTACCACAATAATACCTGAACTAATATAAATTTTTTCAGTTCTGCATGATAAGAATACAATTCTTATGCAAGAACTTTCAAGATTTATTAAATTTAATATTGAGTAATGTTCCAATCTTTGGAGGAAATGAATTCCAAACTTACAACTTTTCTCTAAAAATATATCCAAAACGAAATCAGATGGCAATTTATAGACCATAGTTTGAACTAATGAGTTCTGTTGACAATACTCCTCATCAAACCGACATTAATTCCGAGCCCCTTTAAAAATAGTTCATAAATCTCGTGGAAAGATAAGTGAGACTTTTCTCAAAGGATTGTTACACATAAAATTACATTATTTTCCTTGCTATTGAACTCATAGTTTTTATTCATTGAAATGAATGCAAAACAATGTGGAAAACTATGAAATATTCATTTGCGTTGATTGGAAATTAAAATATACTTTGATTTCTCTCATCTCTCAAGCTGTTTAATTGAATTTCTTTGAAAAAAAGAGAGAGATTATGATTTTGATTCCTAATTAAACTATTTTTTGTTTTGTTACGTATTTTAATCACTGACATAAATATTTTCACGTATTTTGGTATAACTAGATAAAGGAATTACTTTAATTACGATCAATTCCATGATTGTTTGAAAACAGTTGAGACGTCATTCATTTGTTCAGTCATCGCAGTCGTGGCCGAGTGGTTAAGGCGATGGACTCGAAATCCATTGGGGTTTCCCCGCGTAGGTTCGAATCCTACCGGCTGCGTTTTCTTTTAATCATCGAATTAAAAGAAATATCTATAATACTGAAAATAAATGAGTAATAATAGAGATAAAAATAAATATATATGTATTAGTAAACTATTTTATCATTTGCAATAAAAGAAAATACTTGTATTTGAATAGGAAAATTATAAAAATAATAATAATAATACATGCTTACACTCATATATTTACTCTTTAAAATAATTGAGAACTTCTGAAAGATGCGATGAAATGGGACATCCTTTTTCTTTGGTGAGTTGATTGTTTGCTTATCAAAGTCTCAATCAGAAGCTACAATAGGTTTATTGGCGACGGATGTCATAATTTTGATCTACATTAAATCTGTCATGTCTCAAAGTCCTCCCACTGGTGTGGTGTGGAAGTTAGGTGAATGAGGGTACCAGCTTAGGTGTCGTGATTCAAAATTAGGAGGTCCGTCACCGTTGTTGCTTTATAATGTAGCGTTAATAAAACTCAACTCAACTGGTAATTTCAAACTATTACCTAGTGACGAAGACGAAACTCAGCTGGCAACATACTTTTTAAACTTCCACACGTGCAGACTTTGAGCCTAGACAGATTTAATGCACATCAGCCCATCCACACATTGGGTCTTAGTAGCACCAGGAATCGAACCCATGACTCCGAAAAGGACGTTAAACCGGCTACCACGAGTTCGCCGCAATAACCATTTGGTTACCGTGGCTTAATTCTTTGGTGGTATTGCAATTGAGGTCAAAGTTCTCTTATTGACGTATATATTATGTATTATCTCGAAAATACAATCATTTTATGGAGTTGCATAAATTTCGAAACAGCAGTTTTTTATTTCACGCTTGCCTTTCAAAACCTAATTCCGTAAATAAGAGACTAACAAAAACAAACTTATAAATCAACGTGTTTCATAATATACTTAATAAATAAAAATGCACATTAGAGACAAATACAACTAATAAGTAATTATAAGTATTGTATTAAATAAGTAATAAAAATAAGTATGCAAATAAAAATTAAGAATAAAAAGTGAGGAATGTGAAATACTGAAATGAAAAGTTAAGAATAATTAATAATGTGATGAATGAAATATCGAAGTTTAAAAGAGAATAAGGAAATGGTGATGAAATATTGCAAAGAAAATACGAAATAAATGAAATATTGAAATACGGAATATACTGAATCATGAATAATAAAATGTTCACATGAAAACAAGTAAAAATAAACTGGAATAAGTAATTATGAATCAAATGGTGAAATGTATTGACTATACACAAAAAATTATGGAAAAGGAGATAGGAGGGAATGTTCAAATTGAATTTCTAAAAGAAAAGGGTCGCCCATCCGGTATAGTGGTTAGCGACGCCGACTGCAGTGCCGTAGGGTCTGGGTTCAAATCCCGGAGTAGGCACGGATGTTTATAAATGTATAGTGCCTTTGCGGCAGGGGAGTACTCTGAATAGCCGTCGAGCTGCAAGTCCTCTCGTGAGGTTGGAGGAAGAGAGGTGGGAGGCCCCTGACTCCGTTGGTGTTGTCTCACAAAATTGGGATAGAAACGAGCTAAATCTTACTGTCACCTGCATGGTGCTCAAGGCTACGGCTAACGACAGGCGTACATCTACACCTTGCCACGATGAATTTCGTTAGCCTGGATTTGACACAGTCGAGGTCAGATGACATATTAAGTAGCAACAAAAGGAAGGGAGCTAATATTTTAAGACATATCGTATTTATCAAAAAGTTTTTATAGTACTTAACCATTCTCTCTTTTTGAAGGTGATTACAAAATAGTCCCCAGTAAATTGTGATATCTGTTTTCCTCCGTTTCCAACATCAAACTAATGGTCACTTCTGTACGCAAATAGCCGTGGTAGCCTAGTGGTTATTGTGGCCTGCTTATTGTGAGTGCGAGCCCTAGTACCAGTGAAGACTTGTTATACAGAGAGGCTGACACTCGTTAAATCTGACGAGGCTCTTAGTACTGCCAAAAAGTGGCATGGACGTTCGGAGGAGACGTACCGGCTCAGGTGTCATCCTCGTCATTTGACCGAAGTTCAAAACTATGAGGTCCCTTGCCAATAGCCCTCGTGTTGCTCTATAGTGTGACGCTACTAACTTAGTGCGTGCATTTTCTATCCAGTCAACTTCCACCTTAACCTAATTGTTCACTTAAATATTTATTCTATATGTTTTTAATATGCAAAAAAAATTTAAAGAACATACGTAAGTTGAATGAGTTATTTATATACACTCATGAACACACAAAAAATTAGCACACCAAGAAGGAGTCGGCAAAATGAAACGAAATTTTACATACGTAATGACTACTTTGATATAAGTAAATGATTAGAAAATCAAAGAAAAAGGATCATTTATTTCAGAGAAAAAAGGCAAAAGAACGGAGGATTTAATGCCCTGTTGAACTCCCTCCAGCGCGAATGCATGATGCGATACGATCGAGACTTGACGCATACAAGTTCTGTATGATGTCTTGAGACATTTCGCTCCATATTTGCTGTAACCTCGCCTCTAGTTAGTTCAAACTCGTGGGATGCCCAACTCGCCGTCCTAAATGATCCCAGATAGGCTCGATTGGAGACAAATCTGGGAATCGGGCAGGCCAAGGAAGGGTAGTAACAGTACGGAGACAGTCTTGTGACACTCTTGCCGTGTGAGGCCGAGCATTGTCTAGTTGAAAAATGGTTCCTAAGAGCCATTGCATGAGTGGCAACACATGTGGTTGCGGGATGTCATGGACATACCGCAGGGCTGTCATGTTGTCACGGATCAATACTAGGGGTGACCGTGTATTGTAGGCAATGGCACCCCATACCATCACATTAGCTCAGCTGTGGGGGTATGGGGGGGGGAGTATCACATTAGCTCAGCGCGGCACCACTCTAAACGGAGACGTCGATTGGTGGGCGTCAAGAGCAACACACGCAATAGGTGCCGCGATCCCAAATGTCCTTCAGCCAGACGCCTTCGTATGGTTCGAGAAGACACAGGGGCCCCTAGTGAAAGTGCTACCTGTGCCTGGATGGCTGCCGATGAAGCAGTTGGTTGTACGCGTGGCATTTCTTACAATGTGGCGGTCTTCTCGACGACTGGTCAGTCGAGGGCTTCCTAGGGCCTGGTCTTCATGTAAATAACATCTCTCGGATCCGCTGGGCCCAACATCTCCTCACAACACAATCAGAGTGGCCTGTCTAATTGACGAGCGACTCGCCTAGCTGACCACCCAGCTTCCATCATGTCGATGATTCTCCCCCTCTCAAACTGAGACAGCTGCTCATATTGTCTTCGAAAACGGCGTAGTGGCATGTCTCTCTCGTTCTTTTCCTTTGTAAACGATTCAGCACACTCAAACAAGCTTTGGTTACCTGTTTTATACTCCACGGAGAACGACGTTAAAGGCCCTCTACAGGCTATACATAATGAGCAATCAAGCTGCCTTTCTAATCATTTGCATATCTCCCCGACATGTACCTTCATGCCAAGTTTCTTTATGATTCCGCAATTATTTCTTGGTGCGCTAATTTTTTTTGTCCATGAGTGTATGTAACGTATTAATTTACAACCAAACAGCTTATTCAGAAAAAAAGTATGGAAAATCATATACCTTAACCCTATTTTTAATCAAAATCAATTCAAATCCAACAATTAGTTCACATTCTCACAATATGTATATATATATATATATCTCTTGTTCAAATTTTCAAATCGTTGATAAAATACTTTTTATTCATTCATTCAAGTTCAAATATCTTTTTTTTAAATTAGTAGTGTATGAAACTTGATGTTAATACAGTTTTTTCAAATATTAATTCATTACTTCTATTTAATTCTTGAACAAGTATTAACAAACAAAAATAATAGTTCAGCACCCTATATAAGCCGCCCATCTGGTATAGTGGTTGCTGACTGCAGTGCCGTGGGGCTAGGGTTCGAATCCCGGAGAAGGCATGGATGTTTGTGCTGTAATCCTTCTTGTTTTCCTTTGTGTTGTAAGCCCTTGTGTGATACATTGTGGGGTGCCCGGGTTTTATAAATGCTCTCAATAAAAAATACCATATATATAAAAACAAAATCGCTTGCCGTGGCTTTGTAGCACAATGGATAGCGCGTTGAACTTCTCATTCAAAGGTCGTGGTTTCGAATCCAACAAGAAATGTCCTAATTTCTGAGAATGTGATTTCTTTTTTCATACTAGTATTTTATTGGAATAATTAAATTTAATTAATGAATAAATAGTAACAAACGAAAATAACAGTCCAATACCCTATATAGAAAAAAAAATGCAAAGAAAATCGCTTTCTATTTTGCCACTTAATATTGTGATTCTGTCATATGTATATACATATTTATATAAATTGAAATTATTTAATAAAAAGTAACTGAAATAAGAAAAAGTTTGATTGACCTAAGTAGGAATTGACTTTAATTTTTTTTTAATATTACTTGTTTTTTTTAATTAACTGAGTATGTAGCGCACTTAAATTTTGAGCAATCGACGAAATGAAATTCAAATACTTTAATTTATCCAAGCAGTCTCAAGGAAGAATATTCCGAAGTTATGCATTTTGTATAAATAATGAACTATTTTCTTTACAATAAATAAAATACATGGATGTATTTCTAGAACGCGCAAACGTATCAAACATCAATATAGTCAACAAACAAATGCATAAATCATTTGATCTGATGCACTACATCTCATAAAATTCTTCGTAGAACGGAATACTGTAACAATGAGCCAGAATCTTACAAATATAAAATCATGAGAATCCCAAAGGGACTGTAGTCTGAGCAGCTCTTCGATAAACAGGAAACTATTGGTCAGTTCCCATCCAGTCAACTTCCTTGAAATGACGTCTCGCGAGACAAAGAGTAATTTGGTTGGATGATTCTGCGGATCGTAGAATGTATCCATTAGGAAGAAAAAGAAGAAATGATATGTATAGTTAACTTTTCCTATTGTGTGCTTTGCAACGAAACAATATCAACTATTAAGAATACTGCCCTGAAAAGGAAAACAAACTAATCTATGGGTGCTTAAATGATGCAATTATTTAGACAATTGGGTAAAGAATTAATCAGAAATTCTGCATAAAAAACGTAATATGATTTTCGTAGTTTTCTTAAAAAATAAAGCGAAAGATATTTTGACGAGATTTTTCTCATCTAAATATCTCTTTTAGTTATATTTCGTTTCGATTTCATTTTCTGTTTCAGATTCTTTTTCGTTAGATTTTTCTCGTCAAAAAGTACTCGAAGGTTTTTTATTATTTGTATTTATTTATTTTTAATGAAGAAACGAAACCATTTAAATCAAGGAATCATCGTATATTCTACAACATCGATTGAAATTAAAATCTGATATGTATATCCCAGGCTGAAACCCTGAATGATCCAAATGTCTAATAAAGGGAAGGGGGTGGGAACTTCCTATTTTGTTCATGTTCCAGTGGGAACCTGGGCAAAATAGGGGAATCCGGGTTCCCGGGAAATCATAAGATTTCTGTTATTTTTCTATTCCCGGGGATTATACTTCGTTCCTGGGATTTCCCGGGAATCGCACGGGGCGGGGCTTCAATTATCTATTAGGTAGCTATTTTTGACTTGACTGTAGATTTCAACCTCGGACATCGTTAGCTGACCCTACTGCGGCAATTTGCGATCGTTCACCCCCAACTTCCTGAACAAAGGAATGTTCATTACCCCAACTATGGGGTAAGAATGTAATATGAGAAAGAAAGATTAACGTTTTCGTTGGATTGGTGAGAATTTTTACTGCCAGCCGCGGGAAGGAGTATCTGTCCAGAAACTGTCTATCTGTGTATCTAGCTTCGTTAACAAGAAGTATTGGGTTTTTTAAGCAATGGTATTTCATAGCCAACCAGCAAAGGAAGGTGACAGAGAACTGATCGAAGTTCCAAGACCTTGTTTTATGTGGATAACGTAAATATACTAATACTTAAAACTATTATTTATTTAATCTCTTTTTAAAAAAAATTTCGGATACTTGTTTTTATTATGAACTATTTAATTGAATCAGCAATTTGAAGAAGGTAATGAACCCACAAACTGTTTGGGGAAGAATATTTTTACAAGCAACCTCGCAATTTTTCTTATTTATTATTTTTCTAAACCTAACTTTCGTGTGAGAATCTTATATTAATATTTATTTATATTTATGTAACAATAATATAGCAATTCTATGAACAAGAAATAGTTTACGCAAATAAAAAATCTTAAATACAATAATTAATATTTTTAACGTATATAATCGGCACTTCAGCAGCAAATGAGGTTTCAAGTATTTATTAATAATATCTCTTAGTAGCAACATTAGAGAAATAATTGATTCAGATTTGACAGGTTAATTTTCAAACGCATAGGAGTTAGTAAAGGAACACATTAATTTTAGTAATTCTTTTTCAAATGTGATTCCCCCCCCCCCCCGATTTTAATTTACAAAATCTTTAATTGTAATAATATTTTTTCCATGCCTTAGTGATAAAAGTATAAATTGCTTATGCTTTTAGAAATCCTAGTTTTAAAATGAATAATATTTTATATAAAATGAATATATATAAATGAATATATATAAAATGAATATATATAAATGAATATATATAAAATGAATATATATTTTTGTATGTTTTAGTTCATTATATAAATAAGTACTGAATTTGGAATTTATATGTATCCTTTTTTTATATAATTATTATAGATTTTATTTAAAAATAACTTGCTTTTTATTTTTTTGAAAATGTGATGCATTTCCGGGAATCCCGGAAACGACAATTACATTTCCAGGAATAGAAAATCCCGGGAAATCAGAAACCCTAGTGGAGTGGGATATTTGTGTGTTTCCGCCTTCAGGGCAAATTAGTTATGGTCGAGGCAGCAGCGCGCTTATACTGTGTAGGCGTATTTCTCAAACGGTGGGTCAGTGATCGCAGTGCAACGTGCCTTTCGTCGTCACTTCGATATTCCTCCACGAGGTCATGTTCCGGATCGGAGACGTGTTTTAATAAGATGGAGGCTTTCAGAGCAACGGGCAATGTCTCCAAAGAAACGAAAAGACCTCCGAGAACCGTTAGAACACCTGAAAGTGTGGAACGATTTCATGTGTCAATTCAGACCGGTATATGACAATGATCCAACAATTCTTCTTACCCACTCTCAAAGAAAGAGATCTTGACAACGTGTGGTTACAACAGAATGGCGCCACAGCCCACACCTTCAGGGTTTCTATGAGTATTTTAAGAGCAGCTTTCCCCGAATAACTTATCTCCCTCCGAAGGGACTTTAACTGGCCAGCGTGCTCCTTGATTTAACCCATCCTGATTACTTCCTGTGGGTTTATCTCAAGCTCTTGGCTTACAAAGATCATTCCAAGACTCTGGAAGACTCAAGAAAAAACATCCGAGCTGAAATGGACTATATCCCTGTCGATATGCTTGAAAAGGTGACAAAATTTTCGAAATCAACTGCTTGAGTGGATTTGGATAATGGAGCAGTAGCACACACAAAAATTTTTCAAGGGAGTGCAAGATCGAAAGTTCCCCAACTCGTATCATACCTCAAGATAACACCAATTGATTCTTCTTTCTGATTTTAACGATTTTAATAACAAAGAACAGTAAAGAGTAAATTATTGAATTAACAATTAGCATTAATTAATAAAATAAATTGTTAGTTACGAGAACTTAATTAAATTTTACGTTATATATATATATATATAAGATTATCACATCAATCGAAAAAAACCTCAAGGGCTTTAGGGGGGTGGTCCGGACCTTTAGGACACCCCCCTTGTGTGCTCCACTGTAATGGAGGGTGACATTTAACAGGCAAATTATGTTTAAAGCTGTGTAAATTCAACTTCCCAATGTTGTGCGATAGAGGGAAAATAACAATAAAGTCAAATGAAACACACATGTAGTGTGTTTTATTACATTTTCAAAATAGGGAAGTTCCCACGCCCCACCCTGTAGGAAGTAAAGACTCTAAAAATGGCAATTTTTTTGTAACATTTTTTGATGGTTTATCTGATTGCGAAACTTATCTCCACATTTTAAATATGGTGTTCAATTAGTTTTAAAGATTTTTGAAGTTTTCGGAATCTCAGTCTCAAAAGCCTATGACTTCACGAATTGTAAATGCGTTTTTATTAGACATTTTTTTTTTTGGTCGTTATGTGCATAAGATTTCTTTTCGCTAAGACTTTTTTTTCTGTTCAAGATAGAATATAAGCATATGTTGTAGATGATTTCATATATATGTAGTATAGTATGGATTTAGGTCTGAGTATTCTGGTTATTTTCTTTGAATGGAGTTCATTATAATAGTTTGCAATACGTTTATATTCGGGTTTAGCAAAAGATAAAAATAGTTGTTAAAATTCAGCAACAGATTTCCAATTAATAACTTTAGTTCTAAAAATCAAAAAATATATAAATCCCTCCATTAATTACTAAAAAAACATTAAACATTGAATACTTTTTAAAAGTTTTAATTTCGAAAATTTCAAATTAAAAAAAAATTAAATAATGTTTTGCAAAAAGACCAAAATTAATTTAATAAAATAGAGTCTGCAAAAAAAAATAGTTAATTACTTTCATTATTAAAGTTTCCAAAAAATTTGCTCTGAGAGAGGGTACTGTTACTGTGTAGCCTTAAGTTAAAATATTTAACTAAATAATACAAAAAATTTATTAACTAATACTCCAGATATTGACAAAAAGGTCTAACGCGAAACACATGCTCAACTATTCCGTAAACTTAACACTATGTAGTGTTACATATAGAATGGGAAAAGTAACTGATTAATTGATTGCTTGCTTACGGCACAATTCGAAGTAATAAAAAAGCTATTTAAGATGTAATTTAAAATTTTCACCACGGTGCAGAGAAAATAATTGAAGGAAGTCAAATTGGAGGACAGGGAATCAAGCTTTAGAAACAAACACGAAAGTTTCAAATCCTCAATAATTTGACATTTTACATTCAGTCATTCCTGAGATCATTAGAGTGGTGGCAGAAGTCCAGAACACACTCATTAACAGGCTTTTATTCACTTCACGTGTATGTAACGGAATCTTTGAACTCAATTTTTACCCACTTTAAAAGGTCAGATTGATTCGAAATTTTGCACACTTGTCA